TCTCGTCTCTCTCTCTCTCTCTCTCTCTCTCTCTCTCTCTCTCTCGCATCTCTCTCATCTTGCTCATCCCTCTCTCTCTCTCTCATCTCACTCTCATCTCTCTCTCATCGCTCTCATCGCTCTCATCGCTCTCATCGCTCTCATCGCTCTCATCGCTCTCATCGCTCTCATCGCTCTCATCGCTCTCATCTCTTTCTCTTTCTCCCCGGTAGGCGGTGATCCCTCTCAACGAGGAGTGTGGCATGCTGGAGTGGGTAAGCAACACACACGGCCTGAGACACGTGCTTCTGAAGCTCTACCGTGAAAGAAACATTACGACGAGCGGACGGGAGCTGCAGGCGATGGTACCACCGAAGTCTGCCTCCATCGAGTGAGTGGGAGGAAGGTGCTAGGGGAGAAGGGGAGGAAGGTGCTAGGGGAGAAGGGGAGGTGGAGGGGAGGGGGAGGGTGTGTGAAGGGTGGAAGAGTGGGAGGAGGGAGGGGAGGGCGGGAGTAGCGGCCGAGAGCTGCAAGCGGTGGTGCCCCCCAAGTCAGCCTCCATCGAGTGAGTAGGAGGGTGGAGGGGAGGGTGGGAGGAAGGTGGAGGGTATGAGGAGGATGGGAGGAAGGTGGAGGGTATGAGGAGGATGGGAGGAAGGTGGAGGGTATGAGGAGGATGGGAGGAAGGTGGAGGGTATGAGGAGGATGGGAGGAAGGTGGAGGGTATGAGGATGGGAGGAAGGTGGAGGGTATGAGGAGGATGGGAGGAAGGTGGAAGGGAAGGGGAGGGTGGGAGAAGGGTGGGAGACTGGGACTAGGGGAGCGGGAGAGGGTGGGAGTAGTGGCCGGAAGGTGGAAGGGAAGGGGAGGGTGGGAGAAGGGTGGGAGACTGGGACTAGGGGAGCGGGAGAGGGTGGGAGTAGTGGCCGGGAGGTGGAAGGGAAGGGGAGGGTGGGAGAAGGGTGGGAGACTGGGACTAGGGGAGCGGGAGAGGGTGGGAGTAGTGGCCGGGAGCTGCAGGCGATGGTACCACCCAAGTCTGCCTCCATCTAGTGAGTAGGAGGGTAGGTGGATGGGAGGGAGGAGGGTGGGAGAGTGGGAGGAGGCGAGCAGGAGAGGATGGGAGCAGTGGCCGCAAGAGCTGCAAGGGATGGTATCACCCAAGTCTGCCTCCATCGAGTATGGAACTAGGAGGAAGGTGGTAGGAGGGGAAGAGGGTGGTAGGAGGGGAGTGGAGGGAAGGTGGGAGGAGGGGAGCTGGAGAGGGTGCGAGTAGCGGCCGAGAGCTGCAGGCGATGGTGCCTTCCCTCCTGATGCTCATCCTGATGCTCTCGTCTCTCTTTCTCTGCTGGCAGGGAGAAGCTGGACGTGTACAAGAACAAGCTGCTTCCTCGCTATCCGTCCGTGTTCAGCGACTGGTTTCTGAAGACGTTCCCCGACCCCACGACCTGGTGAGTGAGCTCGTTAGCTCGTTAGCTCGTTAGCTCAGAGAGTACATCCTCATTAGCTAGTGAATGCTCTCTCATTTTTTCGTTAGCAGGTACGTGATGCGCACTTCGTAATTCGCGCAACTCTCGAGATGTTTTCTTGTTTTCCGTCAGCAGGTACAATACTTGTACCTCTCGTATTGCTCTTTTGTTATCTCCATCGTCGCCATACAAGGTTATTACCTCTGACGACGCTCTCTTGTTTTCTCCGTTTGCAGCTACATGGCATGCACATCGTACGAGCGCACCTCTCGGGACGCTTTCTTGTTTTCTTCGTCGTCAGTTACATGGCGCGCACGTCGTACACGTGCACCTTTCACAATGCTCTCTTGTTTTTTTCCGTCGGCAGGTACATGGTGAGCATGTCGTACATGCGCACCTCTCGTTACGCTCTCTTGTTTTTCTTCGTTGACAGGTACATGGCGCGCACATCGTACGCGGGAACCTCTTGTGACGCTCTCTTGTTTTTTCCGTCGGCAGGTACATGGCACGCACGTCGTACGCCCGTGATGCTCTCTTGTTTTTCTCCGGTCGGCAGGTACATGGTGCGCACGTCGTACAACCGTGACGCTCTCTTGTTTTTCTCTGGTCGGCAGGTACATGGCGCGTACGTCGTACGCCCCGTGACGCTCTCTTGTTTTCTTCATTGGCAGGTACATGGCGCGTACGTCGTACGCCCGTGACGCTCTCTTGTTTTCTCCGTCGGCAGGTACATTTACGCGCGCACGTCGTACGCCCGTGACACTCTCTTGTTTTCTCCGTCGGCAGGTACATTTACGCGTGCACGTCGTACGCCCGTGACGCACCCTTGTTTTCTCCGTCGGCAGGTACATTTACGCGCGCACGTCGTACGCCCTTGACGCTCTCTTGTTTTCTCCGTCGGCAGGTACATGGCGCGCACGTCGTAGACCCGTGACGCTCTCTTGTTTTTTTCCGTCGGCAGGTACATGGCGCGCACGTCGGCCGTCACGTCGACGGTCGGCTACATTGTCGGCCTCTCGTGACGCTCTCTTGTTTTCTTTGTCGGCAGGTACATGGCGCGCACGTCGTACGCGCGCACGTCGGCCGTCATGTCGATGGTCGGCTACATCGTCGGGCTCGGCGACCGCCACGGCGAGAACATCCTCGTCGAGGCGACGTCCGGCGACTGCGTACACGTCGACTTCAACTGCCTCTTCAACAAGGGCGAGACGTTCGACTGGCCGGAGAAGGTGCCGTTCCGGCTCACGCACAACATGGTCAACGCTCTGGTGCGTGGGGGTGGGGCTGTGTGGGGGTGGGGCTGGGGGTTGTGAGGGTGGGGTAAGTGTGTGTGTATGGGGGGGGGTTGTGGGAGTGCGGGGGGTTGTGAGGGTGGGGTAAGAGTGTGTGTGTGTATGGAGGGGGGGGATGGCGGGGGGGGGGGTGTTGGA